AGATAACTTTATGAAGAGCCAGTATGTCCTAAAAATTGATTAACCTTTGCGCAGCAAACTCAAAACGATAGTGGTTTGCTGCCCTCAGAGGCAATAATATAAATAAAAACGCTTAAATAGTTAAATCTTAACTTACAGGAATTATACGCAGGTTGAACTTTTTATGCGTGTACTCACATTGTGACAAGATGGAGTTCTTATTGCTAGAAAAAGCAACCACTTACTTCACATCGTTTAGGATCGCTCCAAATCCGTCAACTTGCTCTTTTGTGAACGTGGATACCATGGCTTCAAGTAAAATACCTAAAATTATAATACTGATTCGTTCACATGTGCTAACAGCCGCCTTGTGAAAAATAAATTCTTAAGAGTATAATTTAAGGATATCATTATACAAGTGCTTCGAATGATACAACTCGTCTCTTCTTGTATTACCCATTAAGTCATCTAAGTATATGTATATTTATTTCGATATTCTCTTTTACTTAAATAGTAAAATCATTTGTATAGAGTAAAACTGCGTATTTCACTACACCAATTCAAAAATTTCAGACATAGAGTCCAAAAGAGAAGTAAAAATCATTGCTCTACAGAAAAATTCAGATTTGAGCCACGAATTACAGCTGCACTGCGAAAAGAACGTAATGAGTAAAATGAAACGAACTGCAAATTACATAAAAAATAGAGTGCAATTGCGGTCAAACAACCATATGACAACGACATTTTTGACGTTTTCGTTGGAATGGTCAGCTTCAAGGGCAAGGATTTCGGGTGGATTTTTATTCATTTATAATTGCATAGAATCCGAACCATTCGTCATTCCAATCCGAAGCTCTATTTTACAACCATTAGCTCCTGTAGTTGTATTTCGCCCTAAGTGGGACCCAGCTCTTTGCAAAATCTTTTGTCCACTGTGAGGTGCGCCGCTATGGTAATTATCAAGTGCAACATCGCACTGCGGCGAGCGCCATTAATCAAGCTTACTCACCCGAGGGAACAAGGTTTTTTTTTTCCAGTGACCTTCTGAATGATTGTTTGGACCCCATATAAAACTAGGCCGGCTCGAGGACTCCGGA